TACTAAGTTGCTTAAGAATTGTTATTTGAACTTGTTACATTTTCAAATTTGTGCTACATTGAATTTTAATAGCATCTTAAAAAGTAAAATTTCTCAGAGTTATCGGTAGCTTGGGATCGATGGTTTGCAACCACTAATCTTATTCTTTCTCTAACTTATCTGAATTTCATTATTTTCTTTGTAGAGTCATTATGATTTTATTTATTTATTTATTTATTTATTTTTTAAAGAAGGAGATGTGAAAAGTGTGTAAATGTCTGGTGGGGGCTCAAACCCTGGACCTCTCGAATACATGGTTGAGTAAGCTTCCAATTACACCACAAAGGCATGCGCAAAGGAAGAAGAAAATACCTTATATATTCCTTATATATATTTAAAGGGCGACTGGAGATTAGAATCGCCAAAGCTTGGTGGTGACGAATTATCGACCACCATCTTTTTTAAGTTTGGGCATTATTTGTAGAATTATTATGTTGTTTTGAAGCAAGAGACATGAATAATGGGCAGTGCCCTCGCCGGAGCAAGAAACCTGGGCCTCTCGAATACGTGCAGAGTATGCTTAAAATTACACCACGAAGGCATGCGGAAAAGAGGAGAAAATACCTTATACCTTTGCATGAAGTTTTTCCTTATTAACACTTTGTAACAGTGATATGTGCTTTTAAAACACTTTTTTCTGCCTTTGGGTTCTACTTCCTTTGAACTTGCTACAAAAAAAAGTCAAAGATGAGCATCATTTCATGGGGCTTCTATTTGACTGTTTTGTGTACATCTGACCTTCTCTTTTTCTCTTTTCCCTGTTAGCAGTCAATGATTCTCCTTGACCATTTTCTTGAATGCGCGTCCCGTCTGTATTAATTATTCCTTAATTACAACATTCGCTTTAGTGGTGGGCGCATTCACTAAAGCGAGCCTAATTTTTCTTTCACCCTTTTGTCGAATGAGTATCATTTCCTTTTTATATGACTGCTTTTGTAAGAACTTGTTAGCAACAGATTAGCAATTATTAATGCAGTTTTGAAGGTGAAAGTATAAGTTGCTGGAAATTAACCTGCTTCTTTATGTCTGATTTTTATTGTAAAATATAAATAAATAATAAAAAATAAAGAGTTAATTTATCATCATCATCATCAACAACAACAGTACCTTGACAGCCCATAGTGGACCAAAACCTTCTTCAGAACGTCCTTTATAGTTCTTTATAGTCTTCTCGTTTAGTGTATTATAGCACCATGTTATATTAAATTCTTGATTATTTCTCCAGGTATCATCGAGTTTTATTTAGACAACTTTTGTCTAAAAATTTTGCGGTAAAAGGTGTTTATTTTTTTATTATTACTTTTATGAGTCATTTATCACTCAATTAAAGTTTAGTTCTAACTAGCCATCTTTTACTCTAACTGACCTGAATTTGATATATATCATATCACCTTAGTGTAAAATGATTTGAAAGACTGCGGAACGAATTCACTAATTCCACTTTCATTTTTCAAATATAACGTGGATGAAATGGATGAAAATCCTTGTTCACACAAATAGGTTGTGCAAAAGGCAGTAAAACTTTAATAGTTTCATTTGCAATTCCCTTAAACTATCTCTCTTTTTTTTCGGGGGGGGTTCGTCCAAAAATTAACAGGTGTGTTATTTTTAAATCTTCAGTTACAGTTTGATCAAAAGGAAACTTCTCTCCAATATTCTTTTCCTTCACAACATAAAATTTCATATACATTTGAACAAAATGGATTTCTAATCCAATTTTCTTTTTCACAATTCTCGGGAAAATACGTGTTGAAATTATTTATCAATGAAAAACAATAATTTTTAATGTCGGATGTTAATTCTTATTAATCTTCAAATTATTTTCGGTTGGAAAACTTTCTAAAAATGGTAAAAAGCTTAACATGTTATCATCCAATTCTTCGATTATTAGCTCTAGTATTTTATCATTGCATTTATTTTATCTCTAATGGTAAAAAAATTAACCCTTTGTCTTTGTAATCCTAAATTTAATTCATTTAACTTTCCGAAAATACGCAATGCATTTATTCCAAGGAATATCCTTCTCAGACATAAACTTCTAAATTACTTTGAAAATTTCATTTGCAGTTGCTCTATGCTGAAGAGATTCACAAAATAAATACTCTTCGGCAATTCATTTATCTACTTCTAAACGTACGTAAACTAATAATTGTACAAAGGTCGTTATATCAGTACTGTCATCTAATTGAATGCGAAATACTCACTGTGTTTTATTTTTTGAAATAAGTGTCTCTCTTATAGAATTTTTCATGAATTCGTAGACTTACTGTACCATTTGATAATATAATATTATTAAGTTCATTAGTTGCTCTTCCTCTGAGTAATGCTAAAACGATATCTTTAGCTGCTGGTAATATCAGGTTCTCTATAATAGTTTCAGCCTGCCCAGTCTTGGCAATTCACAGGCTTACAAGATGACTAGCTTCCAGACCTTTTTCTCTTGAAGTAACAAAACCTTTCATCAGTTGTTTACTATCTTAGAGCTCCGATAACTTTCTCTTAAAATATTTTTCAGAAGTATCCTTTAAGTTGGTACGCTTAGATTCAAGATGTCTTATAAGAAACGATGGCTTCTTGCTTTGATTGGATAATAGTTCACCGCAAACAACTCATTGAAGTTGAGGGTCCATTTCATCTCCATTCCAAGTAAACCCAAATGATAAATAACTTTCATTATATTTTCTATAAACATGTTTTCTTTTCTTTTCAAGATGCTTAGTGCTAGTAGATTGTCTTGGATACATGACTGTGAATGATCACTTTTCCACTTAGTCATTGTTCCATTTCGAAAATCTAGGTTTGTTTTATTATTTTTCAGAAATATTTAATATATTACAAATGCATTACGACTTCTTCAAAACCAAACGACGATATTCTCAAATCGCGTATAGAAAAGTAATACAAATCAACAAGAAGATAAAATATCTGCTTTTAGAGGCAGCAAATTGACGTAAAAGAATTATTCTAACATGGTGGTGACATAAAGTGTAGACATACCAATAAATCGATCGACTCTAAAAGAATTAATGAGATACTATTATCTTTTTATAGGAACTTATTTCCTCTTAAATACAACATTACTTCTTTTAAAATCGTCATTTATGACATATTTATTATGTCTATGGCTAAAAGTATATTTGTGAAAGTAAAAACGGATTATTTTGCTAAAGTCTATAAACGGCTTGAACAAAGCTCAGATCGCATAAATTTACGAGTGTCAGAGAAAAACTTAAACATTATGTTTCGGTATTTAATTTTTTTTTTTTGATTTAATAGTTAAAAATACGTTTTTTTGCATACCACCTATTTTTCTGTTGCGTATCACCAGTGGTACGTGTACTACCGTTTGAGAATCGTTGATCTATGTAAAATTCTGTGGAATCATTCGTCTCCTTATCTAAAATAACTAATGACTTAAATATCCGAGCAAGTTGCTCAAATTTCGTTATAAAGAGCATTTAAGTACCAGGAAAGAAAATGGTTTATAAATACAGTTTATTGAACTTTGCTTTCTACAAGATTCTGTCTCTTGCTATGTCCGTGCTCACTGTAGTGGTCATAAAGCAATTAAAAACCCTATAAGGTGAATAATATTTTTTATGTATTACACTTGTGTAAAATTAGACAAAATTCAACCATGGAGCAGTATCAGTAGTGCAAAAAATTTTTGATTTTGAAGGTGTTAACTATGATGTTCTCTTCCAAATAGCTACTCTTCGAAATAGAATTCTATAATACATAGGATTTTCTACAAAATTAATGCCAAATCGAAATTTAGATTTTGCCTAATTTTACAATTGTTACTGATATGCAATTATTCTGTATAACACCAAATCTAGGTTTAAGCCTGCACTCTCCCCCTTGAACCTTAGCATGTGTTTCTAAGAAAGATAAATTTTAATAAAGTCTTATTAAAAACTGTATCTATGGCTAAGTTGTATCTTCATCGCATTGCTTTGCCTTGGAGTAAGATTTCTAATTGCTTTATTAGTTTATAGTGTAGAACTCATGCTGTAAATGACAGTAATCAGAATTCATTCATAACGCTTGTTTAAATTAAATCATCAAAGAATATTTTCAAAAATCTTGTTCTGCATGTTTGTAGTTAATGAAAATAAAAAAGAGAAATAATAAATTCGAAGAGATGCTAAGTCACAGACACTTTTTAAAAAGGCCGATTTTAATGGAAAAAATTTACTTTTTCGCTACTATATGCCAATAGTTTGTTACATGTGATAGAAATTTTCAATAAAAGTTTACCCTAAGAAAAAATTTAAAGACAAAATTAATTGCGAGATAAGAATAAGAAACTAAAAAAATATTCTTTTTCGGGATTCATTGAGTTTTACTAAAAAATATTCTGTTTCGGGATACATTGAGTTTTATTAAGTTCGATTGTCTTTGAAAAGAGGATAAGATATAGAAAAAACTAGTTTTTTAAATTATCAAAATCATTTTATTCATAAGAAGATATCATTCACATCATTTTCTCTTTAAAAGAGTGTAGAGAGATTATTGACTCATTGTAATTTTGTTATACTTATGAGGCTTCCGTACCATGGGAAGCACTTCAGCAGTTTTATACGCAGGGATTCCCGAAACCTGAAAATTACTTAGGTGTTCCTCTCGAGTAAAAGGATTGATTTCAGACATGTATAATAATATACTATCACAAGAATATCAAACAGAATTTGGTTTAAACAGATCTTATTACTGCAACAACAAATACTGCATTTTTATTGATGATACTCTAAACCAGTGCTCCCCAACCTTTTTATCACCGCGGACCGGTCAACGTTTAATAATTTTACCGCGGCCCGCTGGGGTGGGGGGACGTTGATTGTTTATATTTTAGATTATTTTGATTTATTAATTTTAACTTAATTGTATTTAAGCATGCCTTCAAAATAAAATAGTTACACCAAAAAATAAATATAAAGTCATTTAACATTTTAACTTACTAGAACGTTTAATCAATGAGAACCCTGAGCTTGTTTCTTAGCAATGAGACGGTTCCATCTGGCGGAAATCGGAGACAATGATACCCGAAGTGTGTTGCTTATGTCTAGTTTATTCCGTTGCTTTGTTTTGGTTGCTGTTACTGCAGAAAACTCCGCTTCACACAGATAGGTTGTCGGAAATGGCAATAAGGATTTAAGTGCTGTGGTGGTTCTGCCATGTCTTTAATCCAGAACACCGGCAGAGTTGTTGTCTCGAACGTATTTTTAAGGCCGCCAACATTTAAATATTCAACAGTTGATCTTCTTGAACAGACAGATGCTAGATTCGCCTGATTTGTTGACAAATGGGTCGCAGATCCATTTCTTACCAGTTCGTGGGTCTTTTGTGGTTGGGAAGTAGCCCTCGAACTCAACGAGATATATACTGGTAGAGAGCTTATTGCAACCTCCAACCGGTTCCAACCAACGAGATATATACTGATAGAGAGCTTATTGCAACCTCCAACCGGTTCCAACATTAGTGTCACGTGACTGCTGGTCGAATTCCGAAAGTCCGGAAATACTTTACATTCATTTCTATGGGACGAAAGACGCCTGCTTTGTTTGCTCACATAAAATTTAAGAAAAAATGGTTATTCGCTGCAGCGCCTATGTATGTAAAGAAAGTTTTTGTAAAAGGAGGACCTGTAACCATTTATAGCTAAGTTAAAATTGCATGATTTATTATTTTATTTCCAGTATTTTTGTCATTTTACTATCTCTGTTGAATTGGTTGGAAAGTTTCAGCCATATTGTATAAGAAAATTGCCGCTGTATATGACATTTTCAGTATCTATTAACAGCATCAAAATGTATTAAATACTGTGACATTATTTATTGGAATCCCCTTTTACAAGTAATTGAATTTTATGTTCTTTTTCCGTGTACTCCGTTGAAATAAAAAGCTGCGCCAATTGGCGCTAACCTTTTATCGCCAAGTCGTAAGCGTTTTGGTTTCGTAAACAAATACTGCCTGCGAGGAAAAAAAAAAAAAAGAAAAAAAAAAAAAGAAAAAAAAAAAAAAAAAAAAAAAAAAAAAAACAAAAAAAAAAAAAAAAAAAAAAAAAAAAAAAAAAAAAAAAACAAAAAAAAAAAAAAAAAAAAAGAAAAAAAAAAAAAGAAAAAAAAAGAAAAATGCTATTATTGTTACATTATTAGTATACTAGTGTATCTTAGCTAACAATGCAGGAATAAGTCTTAAAATATTTTAATTCAAGCTAATGCATAAGAATACTCTGGTAAAGCAGGAGTAAATTGGCAGTGAATTCGAACTTACCAAGCATTATAAGGAATAAAATGGTATTAACTCGTAATGTCAATAGATTGCCTATACGTAAAAGTGCCATCTATTTATAACTTAATCACCTCAGTATTTGATTGCAGAGTTTTTCCTCTCATAGTAATATTTGTTTAATTTTTAAGATTTTTTAAAAACATTTTCCTTTAAAACTATTTTTAGCAACATAAATGTATCATAACTATAGAATTTTCTTTAATTTATAATGAGGATTAAGTGTATATTAAGCGTTTTAGTGGGAGTTAAATTAAAAAAAAAAAATCCTTGAAAAGAGCCTTTAACTTTTTGTTGCATACAAACAGTATATATATAGTTTGTCAAAAAAAAAAAAAAAAAAAAAAAAAAAAAAAAACATCAAAACTATATCTGAGTTTTTGTAGGTTTGAATGAGGCTTCCATCATTATATCTTTACTAGTTTTCACTTTCTATTCGTAAAAGCTTTTTTTTTTCCTTCTTTTTCTGTGAAACAGTCAGTTTTATTTAAGCCCTGTATTTGTTAAAATAAAAACATGTATTTTTAATTTACACTGTTTTATGTATTGATTTTTTAAAAGTAAATATCACATTCTTTATATATCTATAAAGATTTCCATGGTTTTACAAGCTAATTTTTTTTTTTTTTAAAATTTATACCATCTAAAAAATCTTTCCTAATTTCATAAGTCAAATTTCCCATATCAGAACCATATATAGAGTGTTGTATTTCATAAAGTTATTCATGTAGTATATAATAACGTTTAGTTTCTATATTTAGGCCAAATTGTGTGTTTTTGTTTTAAAAAGCTCATTACTTATTCACAAATCAAAAATAGGAAATTTGGAATATACTTGACTACCAGTTTGAGTAGGTGATTTTTGGTACTTGTTCCTGATATAATTTAGAAAAATAAATAAATAAATAAATAAAAAATAGCATTAGTCCACTTAAAAGAAAAATATACTACTTTGTATGAACACCAAACTTTTAAATATGAGCAGGACATGCTTTTCAAACGAAAAGCTTTATTTCTTCATCAGATGCAAGTTGGATCCTTTCCAGCTGGTAAAAAACGAAAGCTTTTTGTTCAAAATGTGTGTCCTACTCGCGTTTAAAAGATTGGTTAGGTTAGGTTAAGTTATTTAATTACGGCAAAACCTCGAGGGCTATCTGCCTAAAGGGAGGAATGCCTTCGTGGGGGACTTTCTAAGGGAAACTGGCTCGTATACACTTTACACATGGGGAAAACCACGAAAACACCCATGTAGCCGGCCCGTTCGCGGGATTCGGAGCGAACTACCAGTGTTCAGCGATTTTACCGCTCGGCCGCTGGTGGCCCCTAAAAGATTGGTGTTCATACAAAGCAGTATATTTTTGTTTTACTTAATTTTGGAGTGTTTATTTGTAATTAAATCCACTTACTTTATAGTAAATACTATATTTAAATGCACATTTTCGTAATGTGTTTATTTAATTGGGATACAGGAATAAAATAGAATATGTATTGTGTGATGTTTGAAATTATAATTCAGAAAGAAAATTTTATTTTGGAAATGTACATTTTACAGCTGATGTGCAAAATATGAAATCTTACTAAATTTAATGTGTAACAGCATACAGTTAAGGCAGTAGCTTCTAAGATTGCATGAAATTATTTTCTGGACATTGCTAAGTTAATATGCAAGTAACTGAAAATGGGCGTTTACAATCAGTGAAAGATCTTTTTTAAAATAAAAACTTTATTTACTATCGTACATTTCCAGAATGCAAGTACATTTGGTAGTACTGAAAGGTCAAAGGTAAACGAAATTGTTCCAAAAACTATTTCTGACTTTAAGTAAAATTATGTTTACTTAAATATAAGAAAGTAAAATATTTTTCTGTAATAAGATTTCAGTATAATTTATCTTTTGTATCATAAACTATATTATAAGTTTGGACAGTAATAGTTTATAGTTCCAGCTGAAAGTCAACAGTCTGTAAGTATATATTTCATCAATTGCACAAATACATACATTACAATGCGATTTTCTTTTTCTCTTTAGGATGCAATGCATTAAAAATAAACGAGATTTTCTTTACCTTCTCAAATATTATAACAGTAGTGCAATTAATTTTTAAACATTATTCAAAATTAAAGTTTCCATCTCAATTTTTTATTATTTATTTTATATTTTCTTCCTAAAATTATTTAACCTAAACATCTTAAACAATGGCGCAAATAATTTAAAGCGATTATTAAAAATATAGATAAAATATTCACGAAAAAAGAGGTTAAGTTAGATCTAAAAATAATTGTAAAAATCGAATAACCTAATTCGAGGTCGTTGTCTGCCGACTGCCGGCAGACGGAAATAAAAAACATATCAAAAGCATACCTGCCATATCAAAAGCACGCCAAACTGGCGATGAACAGCCTAAGCTATCACTCCCCAAGAGCGCGAAGACCATAAGTCACGTGGTATATGTTGGAGACAGCCTAGCAGACGAATTCTCTGTGGGTGAGCCGTCTACCTGTTATATGAAGTCGTTGCTCGAACTCTTTTAAAAGCAAAGACAGGTGATCGTGCACCAACTGGGGATCGTGCATCAACTGGGAGAATGAATGTTCAGACTCATTCTAGCCTAAAATCCCCGCTAATGTCTGAAACATGTCGAAAATGCCTCTGTTCACGCGCCGTCCAAACAACTCCAGTTTGGCTTTAAATGCAGCTACTTTGTCTGCCAACTTGAAAACAGTTGTCATTTTGCCCTGAAGGCACAGATTGAGTTCATTCAGCAGGTTGAATATGTCACACAGGTAAGCCAGTTTGGTGACCAATATCTTGTCACTGAAATGTGCTGCCAGCGGTGACTTCTTTTCTAAGAGAAATCTTTGCAATGGCTCTCGTAATTCAAATACTCTGAGTAGAAATTTTCCTCTTGATAACCATCTTATTTCTGTGTATAACAGAAGGCAGCTGTATTCTGCGTTCATCTCCTCACAAAGCTGCTCAAACAGGCGCGAGTTAAAGGCGTGTGCTTTGATGTAGTTAATAACTTCAACGACATCAATCAATACGCTGTTGAATTCCAGTGACATTTTTCGGCTTTGTGCACTTCCCTGTGAATGAGACAATGCGTAGATTCACTCTAAAGTGCAACTTCCTTAATCCGAGTAGTTAAACCAGACAGTCGTCCGATCATGGTAGCAGCTCCGTCTGTGCATATGCCTACACAAAAGGACCATTTTAGTTGTCCTGATATATAACCATCCAGTGTGACTTGAACATTTCTGCTCCTGTGATGACGGTGGGCAAAGGTAGCGCACATAACAAATCCTCATGCACATCCTCCTGATATAGATATCGCAGATAAACAAAAGTGGTATTGCCTTGTTGTCGATATCTGTAGATTCGTCAACCTGGTGATGCCTTAATCCTCTCCAACAATTGGGTCTCAATGTCTTCGACTATTTCCTCAATGTGCCTAGTCACAGTGCCAGCCGACAGAGGCATATGTGGTATCTTTTCCACAGCAGTCTTTCCTAGAATTTCTCGGCAAATATATTTAGTGGCGGGCAAGATTAATTCTTTATCGATAGTGAATGGCTTTTTAGCTTTAGCAATACCAAATATGATGCTCTCAGTGCATTCTGCTTTATTGATGTGGTGGCCCTCATAAATTTCTTCTGTTTTCCGTGTTCCCGTTTATTTATTTATTTATTTATTTATTTATTTATTTTCAAAATACTTCAGGGGCTTGTCTTTTAATTCAGGGTGCTTGGCGTTCAAGTGGCGAAGCAATTTTGAAGGTTTCATTGCGTCATTAGAGAGCTGGTCGCCGCAAACTATGCAGAGCGGTTTTGGTTTGTGAAAATCACCTGTCCCGAGAAAACCATATTTCAAGTACTGATTGAATACTTATGGTACTATCTGTTACATGTTGAAGGCTTTGATGTTGAAGGCTCTTCTTCTGTCTCTTCACTGAGCCTTTTCTTTTTCCCAAGGAAACTTTTTAACAATGTCTGTTTCGTACTAATTTTTGCTAATCTGTGGGTTAAATTTAAGCAAACACAATACACATGTACACCAAGCACTGTTAAACACGAGAAGGTACCGGTGAACAGAGAGAAGAGCGGTACACACCTTCTCTTTACCTAATCTACAACTCTTGAGCTACGAGAACAATTCATTTCAGAAAATCCACTCATTTTTAATTGCAGAGCATATATTACAATGTGATTTTCTTTTTCTCTATTTTTAATTTCTTTTTCTCTATTTTTAATTTATTTTATAATAATAATATTTCTCTATTTTTACTTTTTCTCTATTTATAATATTTAATTTTAATTTAATTTAAATCATTTTAAACAAAACCGCATAAAGCACACAAAACACTACATTCTTGCTGTGTGTGAACCTCACGATCGAAAGAGAAGACGAGGAAATTCCTGATTAGTTCCAATGTAAATTCCGCGCCGCGCTTTCGTGTTTTATTTATGATATTTACAGTTATGATGAATGATTTTTTTTATTAAAACTAATTCAAAGAGAAAATATAGTTGCGGTGGTTTTCTTTTTTTTTTTCTTACTTTTTAAAACATTAAAAGCATTATGTCACTACCTTCGGAAGCCCCTTTTTTAAATAAATAAAATTTTAATGAAACATAGATTTTTTTAATTTGGGGTATAAACCTAAGAATTTAAATACAGTTTCAATGAAATGGGCAACCCGCA